GAAAAAGGATATAAAGTTGGAAATGAAGAGAGTACATTAAACCAGCCCCTGTCCTTGCACAGTGGGACTTCTGAAAGTGTAATCTGTGCTCACTGTCTGGATTCCCTCCCTCCTTTCTCTTCCCTCCCTCCTTTCTCTTCTCAGCCTACGGAAGGGGGATCAGGCGTCCAACACACCCTGGGGCTCTGTTGCCAAGGTCACAGTGACCACCTAACTGCCAACTTCATGCTCTGGTTTCAGTCCTCATCCCTCTTACCCTGTCCACGGCAGTTAGTATTGTTGATCACTTACCTCTCCATTCGCCCATCCATTCAAACAAGCACACAGATAATGAATATTTGTTGAGTATCTACGTCTCAAGCACTGTACCAGGGCCTGGGAATAGAGAGATAAACATGGTCTTTGCCATCATAAAGTTGCATTCGGGAGAAGTAGTTATTAAATAACTAATTACAGCATTATTTAATCACAAATGTGATAAGTACCACACACAGAGTGATACTAGATGCTAACAGAATACCAAAATACATAACATTATATATGCACATGTACATTTGTGCATGTGTACACACACAGGCACACAGAGCAAAGCAAAACGAAGGTACTTGCTTTATCACCCATTAAGGCCTTATGGCCCCGAATCCAGCGAGAGTTCAACTGGGTGCTGTGGGAACTCCTTGTTTTAAGCCAGAGAGGCCCAAGTGTTCTATAGCGGGACAGGCCAAAGACCTGCTCTACCTACCTCTACCCACAGCAAGCCTTGGATCTGACCAGGACTGTGTGGGCGCTCCATGAGGAGGGCAGAGCCATCGGAGAGGAGAGAGGGATGGAGTTGCCCCCATGCCTGGGTGACCTGCTCCAGGCCCTTCTTGGGTGGGGGGTGAGGAGGTCATGGGGGGCATTGGTGGGAAAGAAGGGAGATAACTTTCAAGGAAGAGACACTCTTCAGATCCTTTCTCTCCTCCATTCCTAGACATCTCTCTGCCAGCCTCCTTCTGCCAGCCTCCTACCTCTCTGCTGCAAAGCCCTTTCTCCTCTGGGTTCCCTTGGGTTGTTTCCCGGTGTTCTGCCCTTGCGCTACTCACTCCCTGTGTCCTCCTTGGATGTCTCACCTGCACCCATGCCTTCAACTTCCATCCCTATATCCATGGCTTTCAAGACTCTTTTTTCCTGAATAGTCAGTAGGTAACTCACATTTAGCATATGGCCAACTCAGACCAGCAGTCTCTTTCTCACCAACCTGTTCTGCCTCCACCTGTATTTCTTAGCACAGCGGTGGAGACTCTCAGGCTCAGAGGCTGCCAGTCAGCCTGGACTCCTCGCCATTCCTTCTCCCTCACCTCCTATTGTTTCTCCTTCAGAATCGTCTCGTTTTGTTACACAGCAATCTGACTTCATGTCTTCCCCTCTTCAGTGCAAAGGCGCTTAGCTGTGGAGTCTGACACATCTAGTTCTGAATCCCGACTTGACTGCATAGGAGCTGTGTGACCTTTGAGAGGTTACTTAATATCTCTGAGCTCAGGTTTATAACATAGTCATATTTAATATATTAAGTATCTAGCTCATGGGGGTTATTTTGAAGATTAAATGAAATGATACACTTAAAGTACTGCACATACTATCTGGTCCATCATAATAACTCAATGAATGTTTACTCCTCTTACTGTGCCCATCATTATTGCTTACGACTGCTGGGGAGATGAGCTCGAGTCTGGAAAGAGCCATCCCTGTCTGACATATAGTAATCGCAGAGTATATGGTGCTGTGTTCTTTCCTTGTGACCTCTGGTTCTTCGATATTCTAGTGGCTCCTTCAAAATACACCAGACTGTTCCTATCATTTTCATGCGTTCAGCTCTCTGTGCTTGTAGGAGTCAGTCTGCGCTTACTCCAGCAAGCAGGGCCTTTCCCAGTCTGTCCCTGTCCTCCCTCCTGGCCAGGCTCAGTTCCCATCTTTCCTCTTCCTTGGTCACGTGACCTCCCTTTCTCTCACCATGCTGACTGTGCCACAGCCTCTTACTGTCCCAGGCATTGAACCTGCTGTCCTGCCTGCTTACTTGTCTTCCCCACTCTTCAGCCATTTATCCATTAAGGTCACGCCCTCCATAAAGCTGGCCTTCCAGGGCCCTCCAGTGAGAGTTGCTGTCTTCCTTATAGCCTGTGATACGTGGCTGTAGCTTTGTGATAATTTGTAACTTATTGAGTTGTAATTTTCCCACTTACCTGTTTGCTCCCTTTATTAGACAACTTGCTCCTTGAGGGAAGGACTGATGTTCTGCGCATGCTCACAGCCCAGCGCCTGGCATGGTAGGAGGTGTGGCATTTGATAGCCACACCAGCCGATCAGTTAGTGGTGAGGAGTGAATGGAAGAGCCCTGGAGACAGTTCCAAAGAAGACTTTTAGAAATGTTTTCAGTTGTTATCAGTACTATTGGAATTGGGGCCTATCACCCCAAGCCATCTCTTTTAAAAGGGCAGCATTAATGTAGATGTTCAATATCTGATATGTTTATAAAGAAACCAACTGATTTGTTGACACCTAGAGGGAAATGCAACCAAACTTAAATTTCTTCTTGGGATGAAATATCTGACATCTTTATAATTGGATCTGAATCCCATCTGTGTAGAGAGCATGGCACAGGCTGGAGGCAGATGGCATCTCTGAGATGCCATTTACAGTTGTCATAGTGAATGAACAAAAAGGAAGGACAAGAAAGAAAACTCCTTTCTAATCTCTGCTTGGGTGACAAAGGGACGCAGAGTAAGAGGAAAATTTGCTTTACTGGCAACTCAGAGAGAAGGTGAGGGGTGGGATGTTTCCTTTTCCTTCTGGACTAGGTGCTGGGTCAGCAGCAGAGGAATGTGTGAGTGAGCAGAGGCGTCAAGAGCTTTGGAGCTTCGAAGGGCAGTGCGGAGAGAAAGGGCTGGGAACATTTGGGGTTGTTCAGGCTGATAAAAGACCGGGGCCAGCATCATCTTTGTGTTCTCCAAGAGGGTGAACTGATAAGGCCATTGCATCTCCTAGGGAACCCATGGCCAAGACTGGAATCATCTGTGATCTGGGGAGAAATATTGATATAGAGATCCTGGAATGCTTTGGACAGCGATAGGTGACCTGCTATCCTTGCAGGAATTGCCTATTTTCCTCTCTCTGCCTCCTTTGATCCTCCTAGGTCATGTGGGGCATAGAATCTAGGTAGTGCTGCTGATTCAGTAAAGATGTAAAATCTTCTATGGGCAGAGAGACCAGTAGGCCAGGGTCAATTCAAAGCTGGTGTTGGTTCTGAGTACAGGAGAAATGCGTTGACCCACAGGTGCCTATGGTTCAGGCTTCCTTTCCAACTTGGAGGCTGAGAAGAGATTTACTAGGAGGGAGGGACAGGAGCTGAGTTGAGGAGAGTCATTTTCTGAGATGGGAGAGTTATCTTTCTCACTCTTCTTGATGGAAATCTTGCCTTGGGTTTCCCAGAAAACAGAGCCTGGGGAAGGGGGCTTATATTTATTATGCAACAGGAAATAAAACCCCAGGAAGCAGGAGTAGTGGGGGCCAAACGCAGAAAGCAGGGAAGGAAGGAGAGCCAGTATAAGGACGCCTCGTTGTACTGGTCTCCACTGAGGACAGGGACTGCTCTGCTTTGTGACAGCGTCCTGAGAGGCTGTAGAAATGAAGTCCTTGTAGGACTGCCCTTCAGGGGACAGAAGGGAGAAGGACTTATCCTCTAGATCTCCCTGTGGGGCTCTAACTCCCCTGCACTTCCAGGTTGCGTGTGCAAGGGTGTGGGAGCCGCAGCAGGGAAGCCCAGAATGGAGGCAAGACATGGGCATGTTGTTAAAGCCCATGCGGGACTGGAGCAGTGAGCAGGTGAGCCCGAGAGAGTTCAGAGAATTCGTAAGAGGTGTCTGCTTCAGTGGGAATGCCTGGAGCATCCCTGTCTGGTGACATGGAGATTCCCTTCTCCAGGGATGACAGTATGGTGGCTTCCATCTGCAGGGAATTTTGTTCTTTTGGATGCCACTGTAAATGAAATTGTTTTCTTAATTCCATTTTCTGAGTGTTCATTGCTAGCGTGTAGAAACTCAATAGATTTTTGTACATTAACTTTATTTCCTGCATTTCACTACACTCCTTTCTTAGCTTTAGTAGGTTTGTGTGTGTGTGTGTGTGTGTGTGTGTGTGTGTTGATTCCTTAAGAGTTTTCTATATACAAAATAGTATCACTTGAAAATAGAGATAGTCTTATTTTTCTGTAGGGAATTTCATTTTAAAGAAATAAAAAGCTAGATCCCCCACCCATTTCTGTCTGAATAGCCACTTAGGTGGTTCACTGGGTCCATTGGAAGCTGTGTTGTCTCAGGGAACCAAGGCCCAGTAGGGTAGCCCACATTGCTAAATTCATTGCATGGAATTTATGCAGAATATTTAAAAGAAGCAGAGCAACCCAGAGAAGTCAGTGGCTTCCTGATAGACCAGGATTAAACAGCTTCAGTTAGAGGAGTCCCACAAGTGTGTAGGGACCTTGTGGAGAATTCCTTTAGCTTCCCCCGAGCTGCTCCTGAGGAGTGGTCTGGTGTGGTGAAACATGCCATCTTCCTCCTTGGGAATAAGAGCACCCCACCCCCTGGATGGGAGGGGAAAGGTGGAAGTAGGTCTCACCTGTGCTTTGTAGGGAAGAGTCAACTCAGGGCTCCGCGCTGGGCCTCATTCCAGATGCCAGTGACATCCATGGCCTGTCAGGCTAGTCGCAGGTTGGAAGTTTTACCCATACTCGAGCAGGAATCTTTCCTTTTCTTCCAAGTCAGGTAATGTGCCAGGCTCATTCCTGACGAAGGGAGGTTGGGTGAGTGGCCTGGGACAGCTTGAGCTGCCTGACTTGGTATCCGAACCGCGGCATGAACCGTGAGCCGCGGAGATGCCAGCTGTGCACACAAACTCATCTCCACTTGGATTTTCCCGAAGCCCATTGATACATTCTGTGAGTCAACTCTCTTTTTCTATTGTAGAAATAATGACAGAAATTCACAATGTCTCGGTGTTTAATAACACCTGTCTGAGATGGCAAATAAACCCGGGAAGAATGAACTCCAAGATCCTGTACGTGGTAAGTAAAGTGGTCTCCTTGTCCCTGCTAGGGCAGCGGTGGTAACTCATGGGGCTTTGAATCAGAGGGACATGCTTCCATTAGAGTGTCTCAATCTAATTGCTTTCTAATCCCACTGGCATTTAAAAAAGGAGTGGGTAGAATTTTTAAGATATCTGGGCTATTTTGTTATTTTACACTTTGTGTTTAACGTATATGTTGCTTGACAGGGTGTGTATGTGGGGGGTGTGTTTATATTTGGCATCCTCATTATTGCTTGTTTCCAAGCACTTGTGTTCACTCCCCCGGAGCAAGCCTGGAAGCACCTGCTGACTTAGTGACAGATGCAGTGAGCAGTCCTCGTGTGGTGACTGCCTCCTTTCGGGGTTGACCGTTTGTGTGCAGGACAGCACTTCCTAGAGAGACGCCTCATTGATGTCACTTCTCAGGGTTTGCTGATCACTGGGATGATCAGACTTGACCTCCAGATACCCGACAGCAGAGGTTTCCCTTGCTTATCGTCCCCGGGTGAGCAGTGCAGTGTGACATGGCAGAATAGGATCCAGCGCCACAAAGCCTCAGTTGTGTTGACGAGAGTCACGGTGGGCCCTCTTGTCTATTCCTCTCACAAAGGTCTCTATAAAAGGACAACGGTTGGACCCGATGGGATCAGTTCATGAGGAGACAGTCAACCTGACCACGGAGAGCAAGAGCCCAGAAGTGTGCCTAGACCTGTACCAAGGCGCCAACTACACCGTGAGCATATCCACCGCCCCTCCCAGGCGCTCCGTGCCAGCCGTCATTGCTTTCCAGACAGCTGGTAGGTGGAAGTGAAGTCTCATTTCCTCCTGGAAAATGCCACGCACAGGCTGTGGGGAAACATTTTTCAGAATCAGATGGGCAGGAAAGTTCACACTTGCTTTCTGAGATTTGCACTCAGCGGAGATGTAGTTGCTCCGGGGTCAGAATTATGGCGGGGCTAGTAGGGGAGATTCTTGTCCCAGTGGCTCCAGTTTCAATGGACTCTGATGTGCTGTTTCTCAGCTGAGTCCTCTGGTAGAGGTAGAAGGTAATAAAAAGGCATTTAAAAGAGGAAAATGGGCCGGCTGTGGTAGCTCACACCTGTAATCCTAGCACTCTGGGAGGCTGAGGCAGGAGGATCACTGGAGGCCAGGAGTTCGAGACCAGCCTGAGCAAGAGTGAGACCCCATCTCTACCAAAAATAGAAAAGTTAGCTGGGCATGGTGGTGTGAGCCTGTAGTCCCAGCTACTCAGGAGGCTGAGGCAGGAGGATCACTTGAGCCCAGGAGTTGGAGGTTATTGTAGTGAGCTATGACCACGCCACTGTACTGTAGCCCAGGCAATAGAGTGAGAGCCTGTCTCAAAAAATAAAAAATAAAATAAAAGAGGAAAACTTTAGGTGGTGGTGTAGGCCCCTCTCAGGTATCCAAGGCAATAGATAGTAGCCATGTGGCTTATTTTTGGTGGCAAATTCAAGTCATTTCTTGCCCTTGCCTGGGAGAGAGGAAGAGCCACGCAGCAGTTTTAGGTCTAGGATGAGAGCTGACCCCACGACTGACTTGGGTCAGGAATCAAATTGAGAGTGGGTGAGAGGACAGGGGAGGTGGTGGTGGGGTGCAGGAGGGTAGATGTTGATTGAAAAGAGGAGTGTATAGGAAGGAACTTCAAGAAGTAGGAATAAATTTTATTGCATATGATTGTCATGTGAATTTTTTAACAACCTTGTGACAATTACAGTCAATTTTTTAAAAAGAAATATAATTCTGGTTATGGAGTGTGAGGATGAATTAAATACCTCCTAGACAAAACTTGAGAAGACATTGATGGCATTTATTATTTTGGGTGAGTAGACGTAGTTCTTAATTAGCTGTTTGCTGTCCTACTTAAGACAATTACCTCAATCCTCAGATATTGCTGCCACTAGGTACCGGGAAGTGACACAGATTCAGGAGAAATAATTGAAAAGTCTGCCAATGTTAGCAATATAAAACCAACTATGAAATTATACAAATTGGTCCTCTCAGTACTTGTATATAAATAAAACAAAAGTGTTTCTTTCTAAATAAATAATATTCAGGCAAAGGTATTATAAAATTACTACGGTGACCAATTAGAGAAACTTTACAAAATTAATAATAAACTACTATGGACTTAGAGGGATATATCTTCTTTAAAAGATCATCTCAGGACTTGACACTCATCTGTCACTGTTCAGTGGGGATGACAGGTTGCTGTTCAGTGTCAGCTGTTTCTACTAATATCTGATTACCTCTTCCAGTTACTTTCCACTGGGAAAATCATGGTCTTTGGAGGCAGGCAAGTCTGGTTTTGCATTTTAACTTTGTGTTGAAGAGTTGGGTAATGAGTTATTTAATGTCTCTGGACTGCTTTCCTCTGTCTGAAATTTTAAATGGAATTGGATTAAATTTGCAAGTTAATCTAGTGAGAATTAGGATTTATATTGAGTCATCCCAACTGGAAGTGAGGTATGTTTCTACATTTACTCAGTATCTACTCGTCTTTCTCTATTTAGCACTGCGGTAAAGATTTGTCATTCTCTTCCTCTAGATCCTGCGCATTCCGTTGTCTGATTTCATTATCAGGGTTATGCTAGTTCCCTTAAAATGACTTGGGAAGTTTTCCATACTTTTTTTGCTCCGGAACAGTTTATAATACCCTTTGGAATTATTCCCTTCCTTTAAAGTTTGCTCATAAGATCATTTAAGTTTCACCCCTTTAGGGAGATGCTTCTTTAACAACTTTGTCAATTTCTTCCTTGATTTGAGTTCTGTTTAAGTTTCTTACATTTACTTGAGTCAATTTTTATAATTTACATTGTTCTCAAAAATGTACTGGAAATTTTGGTTTTTCTCTCTCTTTTTAAAAGTTGATTAGCTTGTCTGTTGTATTATTGTTTCCTTTTCCCAAAGAATGAACTCTTGGGTTTTTAAATTTTCTTCTTTCTAACTCATTAATTTCTCTTCATATTGTATTTTTTTTTTTTTTTTGAACAGAGTCTCACTCTATTGCCCGGCCAGAGTGCCGTGGCATCAGCCTACCTCACAGCAACCTCAAGCTCCTGGGCTCAAACAATCCTTCTGCCTCAGCCTTCCAAGTAGCTGGGACTACAGGCATGGCCACCTGCCGGCTATTTTTTGTATATAATTTTTAGTTGGTCAATTAATTTCTTTCTATTTTTAGTAGAGATGAGGTCTCGCTCAGGCTGGTTTTGAACTCCCAACCTAGAGCAATCCGTCCGCCTCGGCTCCAGAGTGTTAGGATTACAGACGTGAGCCCCACACCCGATCTCCTCATATCTTTGTTACTACTTCTCCATGTATCTCTTAAATTGGTTATATTGTTCTGTTTCTAAATTCTTGAGCTGAAGCATTAAAAAATTCAACTTATTTCATTCTTTTGTTTGATAATAAAGGTTTTTAATGCTTCTTTTTCCCTTTCAGATTTGAGCTTTTACATAATTCCTTAGGCATTGATAAGCATTTTCTTTACTTTCAAGTCATGATATAATTGCTATTCTGCTTTTTCCTTTGATTACAAAATTATTTATGAGTGTTTTAATGTATGTTCTCTTTACCCTTACTTTCAAAGCATTATATAATTGCTACTTGGATTTCCCCTTTGATTGAAGAATTAATTATAAGTGTTTTATACAAGTAGTTTTTTTCCTTTGTAACATTTAGAACATTTTTTTTTTTGAGACAGTCTCGCTTTGTTGCCCAGGCTAGAGTGAGTGCCGTGGCGTCAGCCTAGCTCACAGCAACCTCAAACTCCTGGGCTCAAGCAATCCTTCTGCCTCAGCCTTATGAGTAGCTGGGACTACAGGCATGTGCCACTATGCCCGGCTAATTTTTTCTATATATATTATTTGGCCAATTAATTTCTTTCTATTTATAGTAGAGATGGAGTCTCGTTCTTGCTCAGGCTGGTTTCGAACTCCTGACCTCGAGCAATCTGCCCGCCTCAGCCTCCCAGAGTGTTAGGATTACAGGCATGAGCCACCGGGCCGGGCCTAGAACATTTATACTTCCTTGTTGATTTCTAGTTTTATTACATTTTGTTATGCTTGGGGGCATTTGTTGATATTTTCTTGGGCCTTACTACTTGGCTAAGTTTGTTAATTTCAATAGATGCTGGATAATAAGGTAGAGTGTTTGCTAGTAGGTGGAGTAAGATCTAGTCTTAAATCAACTTTATAAATGAGGCTATTCAGGATTCCTTGTTTTTGTTTGTTTGTTTTGCTTACTTGGATTGCCATTTTTCTCAATTTCTCTTAGGGGTTCTAATTGGTTTGTTTTACACATTTTGATGTTGTGATATTAATGTTCATGACTGCTATCTTCATTATAGATTCTTTCATTAGTACCAAATAGCTCACCTTAGCCTGTTAATATATTTTTTGCCTCAAACTATACTTTGATAATAATATTGGTTTTGTTTTTATTTCTTTGTGCTTGTATTTGCATGGTATGCCTTTGTCTACTTTTTTCTTCTTAAAAGCTATCTGGATAACATTACTATAAGTTGCTCTAGGAGACAGCTTATGTTGAGAACCTTTCTGGGACAAGTTTTATTTTTGAATAGATAGATTCTCCAGCTTACATTTTTTTTGTGTGTGATATGATTTTCCTTTCTTCTGTCATTTTATTGTTTCTCTTTTTTTATACTACTTTGCTATATCTTTTGTTTTCTTTTTGCTATACATTTTGTTTTTATTCTATAATATAAGTGATCACATTAAAAAACAAACTCTATTTGGGTGTGTATTTCTTTTATTTCCAGTGTTAAGAATGAAATGTTAACTTCTCCCTGAATAAGATAAGGAAGTTAGCATTCTTTACTTCCTTTTATTCCTTCCCCTTTCTCTTCCCTTATATTATTGGTTTAATATGGCATTTCATTGTCAGCTCCTCATTTTTTGTAAGTTTTTTTTTGGAGAGAAGATCTCACTCTGTCACCCAGGCTGGAGTGCAGTGGTATGATCATAGCTCACTGCAGAACTCCTGGTCTCAAGTGATCCTCTTGCCCTATGAGCTTCCTGCGTAGCTGAGACTATAGGCACGTGCTTCCCACATATGGCTAATTGTTCTTATTTTTTTGTAGAGATGGGGTCTCACTGTGTTACCCAGGCTGATCTCGAACTCCTGGCCTCAAGAGATCCTCCTGCCTCGGCCTCCCAAAGCTCTGGGATTATAGGTGTGAGCCACTGCACCTAGCCTATTGCTTTTTTTAAAGTTTGTTTTTGGCTCTTCAGATACCTGTATTCCACATTGCTTTTCAATTTTTCCCTTTTTATGTCCATATCTTTTCCCTCTGCCTTCTGTATGTAACAAGTTTGTTATCTATATGCATTTACACATATCTGCATTTATGCATTTACATGTCCAGTTTTTACCATTTCTGATGCACTTTAAATACTGTTGTTGCACTTTCATTTCCTTTTCTTTGGGTCCCATCTAGTTCCCTTTTTATTTCTGCCTCTCTCAACCAGTTTCCTCTCTGCTGTCACATTCTCTTATTATCTCTCTTGTTTGAATCCATTTTTTAAAGTTTTTATTGAAAATACAAAACAGAAGCTGCCTAATTTTACCAATACTTTGCTCAAGATTTTGTTTTTCAAAATATGCTCATTCTTTGTATTTTAAGCACAATTTCCCTTTCTACTCCTCTCCTTTATAAAATCATTTTATAGGCTTTTTTTTTTTTTGTGGCTTCTAACTTACTTATTCTTGGAAGATAAAAGTTCTGTCTAGGTCTGATATTTTTCTCATAATAAAATTGGATGATATTCCCTTTGATCTTACTTTTGGTTGGATAATGTTAGGATGCTTATCTCAGATCTCATCGTGAAGGCTTTGCTGCGGGTTGGGTGAGCCAGTGTCCTTCAGGCAGCAGCTGGGAGAGAGCCCCCCACACCCCCTTAGCTGTATTTCCGAGCACTTTGCTATCTTGATTGGTGAAGCTGTTGGCCTTGGACCTGGCTTCTTTATGCTGCTACATCTTACTGAGGCAAGAAAGAGGCAGGTCCCTTCCTCTGCTAAACCAGGTTCTCTGTCAGGTGGGACCTGCACATCCCTAGGTCTCTACTTTGAAGTCCTCCCCTGTTACTGGTGTGTGCTGAGGAAGGACTATTATTATTATCATTATTATTTGCAGTAACAGCAATAGTATTATTAGTATATATACTTTACTCTGTTGCCTATCAGAATTGCCTGTTAAACTTTTTTAAAAAAATACAGATGTCCAAGCATGACTTCCAGTCTGCTGTTTGTGGCTGATTCTGAAATGCAGCTGGATTTGAGAGCCACTGGGTTACATGGGCCCAGATGGAGCGTTCATCACTGAGCGGTCCCATGGCCTGTGTCTTGCTTCCTCCGAGGGTGCCAGTTCTCCTCCAGCTCTTTCCTTGGAAATTTCGAGACCATGTTCCTTCACTTGCAAGGCAGGTTGCTCAGTAGCTCTCAGTGTCTTTCTTTCGCCTGGTCCCTTCTACACTGTGCGGAGCAGAAATGTCTTTATGTTTCTGCCTCGCGTATGGCAACCGACCCTTCTTTCCAACCCAGATGCAAATTTTGACCCATTTTTACTTATTCTCAGTCACTCTGTCAGGACTGGGCGTGGGAAGTGGGAGCCAGATGCCTGTGTTCACATTGCCATCTTCTCCTGAATTCCGACTGTAGCGGCTATCTTATGTGAAAACGAAAACGCGGAAACATTCAGACTGCACTCTGCCTGTGTTCTGTTAACGCACAGACATATGCTCTATGGGGTATTTCTTAATATATACATTTGGTGCTCCTGAAAATCATATGCATACATGTGGCAATTTTCATTTCTGATGTCCTTATGAAATCTTTAAAAATTGTGGCGATAAAGGAGAGCACATATGATAGATCTCCAAATTCTCTCTCATAAGTATATTTCTACATTTTCCAATTATAGCCAGAAATATTTGATTCTCCCAGCTAATTGCCTTGGCCTGCAAATGTCAATGACAGTGAAAATGCTGGAGACAGTTCTGATTTTGACTAGAATAATTTATTGTGATCATTATTACTTCTTAGGTAGCAGAGACTCCCATGGGAGAAATACACATTAAAGATAGTTATAAAATAGCTTCTTTCTGGTAGACATTTAACTTTTTCTCATTGGTAGTGACCATGCAGGCTTATTTGTTAGGAAATTTGCTTTTCCTTGAAAATTACCCGTATTACTCCTGGACTTTTTGTGATTTCTTTAATTCATTAGTAACCAAACTCTCCTTTATAACTACATTAAGAAAATAAAATATTGTAGGAATGAATTAGACTGCAGGAGGTGTGAAATGACTTTTTTTCCATACAATGGTTGAAACAGTCTGCTTTCTGATTATTTTTTTGCCTTAGGATTCAGCTGAGTAGCTCTTGAAATACTGTCTGCTGTGAAAGCATATTTCCTCTTGCCTGGTCATGTACTTTCTGGTCATTTTTTTAGTTTGGAAAGCATTTGCCCTGAGAATTTTAACTCATAGCCTTTGATTTTTATTCACCTTTTTCCTTATTCTCAGACTTTCCAGCTACTCGTACGCTTACCTTCATGACATTTTATTATGGACTATCCAGGTGATAGGATTAACTTTCTAAAAATATCACAGCTTTATTAATTTACAGTCATTTAAAAGTATTTCATTTGATTCTCTCCATGACAGCCTGTGGCATAAGAAAAGCAAGCTGAGTTACTTGATTTCACAAATGAGGAAACTGAAGTTCAGGGGGTTCAGTGACTGAGCTGAGGTCATTAAAAGTAAGAAGTTGCAGAGCTAGGACTTGAAGCTAGGTCTGCTGATGCCAGATATAATGCTCTTCCTGTTAAATACCCAATTGGTTCTCTTAAGGTGTCAGAGTTTCACGTGTACTTAACCATGATGTGTTTTGCTAAGATGATGCAACCTATCTATATGTTCTCTCTTTTCTTTTAGAAGATGATCTCTTAGAAGATGATGGAATTTTCAATATTTCAATATTTAATGAAACTTGTTTGAAATTGAACAGGCATTCTAGGAAAGTTGGATCAGAACAAATATACCAAGTAAGAAGATCTCGTATGCTATCTGTCGAAGATTGTGTCACTTAACAGTTTGGGTGATCTCCAAGTGAGGATCCAAAGTATTTAAAAATGAATGAACTCTAGACAGTTTGTGACTGTTGTTTCTAGAGCATATGTGAGGTGTGAGATGGATATGAGGGAACTAAATTGAAGAAAGACACTATATTTGGTGTTATGCTATCATTTTCCCTGCCTGGTATTTCACACTTATATTTTATTTTAGTGCATTTAATAATTGCAATTTATTTTGCCATCAAATTCACATTTGAGCATGGATTTTTAGGAAATTCGTTGCATGGCTATTGGCCCTCAATTTAATTTTTTTTTTAACATCAGAAGTAAAATTATATAAGTAAATTCAGGTGGAATTATTCAAGTACCGAAATAATTGTAATATATGAGAAAGGCGATTTTTCAAATCAGTAGAGAAAGGAAGGTTTTATTCAATAGATGATTCTAGGACCACTAATTGACAACTTGGTTAAGAAAACAAATAATTCTCACTTCATAACCTATACAGGAATGATTAAAGAGTAAAATTGAAAAAATATTGCTTTTTAAAGTATGTTAGACAAAGATTAATTTATGTAACATGAGAAGCACTCTTAAATCCATTGGGAAAAAAGTGAACATTCAAAAGCAGTTTACAAGAGAGAAAATACGTATTCCCCAAATGCACGGGAACACGTGGTATGCCTCCCTAGTAAGTGGTCCAGAAGAATAGGGGACTGCTGCAAGATCCTGGGGGAGCAACTCCGCTGATGACACAGCCTAGAATGTGGCCATAGATGTGGGGGGCTGGAGTGGAGTGGAGGAAGTTCATTGCATCAAGCTCAAGGAGCTGTGAAGCTGAGTTTTGATGGCTCATCTATAAGGATCTTCAAGTTATCCAAGAGAATTCGAAAAGTTTGGGAGAGAGGAATCCCTGTGAACTAGGTGTCAAGGTCTCGGACAGCCGGGGAAGACTGATGGGGAAGAGTCAGTGATTGACAGTGATGAGGAGGGAGAGATGGTGGGATAGCCAATGACACCGGCATCCATGGAGACACTAAACACATGGGCATCTCCACCAGCTAAAACACGCTGACTGATCAAGGGCTGATCAGTGGAAGCTTCGCAAGAATTTTTCCCTATAATTCCCTATAGCTGCTGCTTGAGACGGTAATGGATAGAGTGTGATTGGGTGACAGGAGTGTTTGATGACTCTGTGGATCACAAGCTCTTTTTTCTAGAGCTCTAATAGGAAGGATCCAGTGAAGTACCACTGCACAGTTGCTTTAAATGCATCAGCTGGGGAAATCCTCATAAAGTTCAAGTACTCTGTTCTATGAGACTTGTCCATAGATTCTTTACAACGAAAAGAAATTAAAAGAACTTTGCCCAATAGCCCCAGTTCAATTTCTTTCACTTGGGTGGGCTCTAAGGATTACTTTAGAATAGCCTGACATTTTATTCATCTGAGATATAGCTACACATTTTAAACTTAGCCCTATATCTGGTTTTGAGGGAAATCCAATAGGATAGGTAAGGTATCTTTGTAAAGTCTTCCTCAGTTTAGCTTGCTAGTGTAGGAAAAATAACTCTGAGTGGGTAGGGTTAAATAGAAGGAACTTTCTTGCTTTGACTCTGTTTTGCTTGCAGTCTAGACATCTGCAAGCCGACAGAAAATTTAATGCAATGCTTTTAATCTCGTGACAGTTTAAAGTTCTGGGTCGAAGGTGGTATCTGGATAACTTTTATCACGCAACATCCTTTAACTTCACAACGAGGGGACGAGCTCCAGTGGTGTGTCTGGATCTGTACCCGACAACTGATTATACAGTGACTATCACCCTGCGGGGATCTGCTGAGGAACACACAGCGAGAATGGTGATAACAACAGCACCAGCTGGTAGGTGTAGACGCCTTTCTGTTTTGTACCTCAGGACAATAAGTTAAATATGTGTACTGAGCTGTACAATGTTAGGGAGCATAAATAATGCTAGTTGGGGAGTCAGGAGACTTGGGCTGTCGTTCTAATCTAACAAACTGTGTTAGATTTGTCTGGGGTTCAAGATACCTGAATCTTCTCACTTACCACTTCCCCACAGGGTTCTGGCACATAGAGGATATAGACCAAGCGTGGAAGGCTTTATTCAGAGCTCTCTGGGAATCCTAGATTGAGAATTCAGTGTTTTATTTCTCACCCACAATTTAAGACAACCGAGCCCTTAGGGTATTCATTAGGGGCAACTAGAACCAACTTCCAGGAGACCAGAAGTGTGAGCCACACTGTGTTGGGCACCGGCAGGACAAAGAGGCCTTGTGACTGGGCAGTATATAAGCGCATTAACTTGACATATAGAACGACAGTCTAATTATGGTTGGGCTCTTTAGAAACTCTTCCTTTGTGGCCTTTTGAGGAAGCCATATATTATAGAAGCCAGCTGTATTAACTCCACAGCGCCCCCTAGTGGGAAGGGATAAATACATCACTGTAGTTTCTTTTGTTCTTTAATCCTTTGGGTTTAACAGACAAATTTATGGGCAACCAGGAGAAGAGGCTGCCTCTTTGAAGGAAAACAGCAGAATAGGGTAGGTCCTACTCCTACCTCCCTGAGGCCTCTCTCTCATCTTCACTGCTGCCCTTTTTGTGTTCACCTCTGGGTGGACAGTTTAGAAGATTCTGAAATGCCTTGGATGCTAATGAGGGGCCCTAAGGCTGAAAATTTACTTTTTATTCTGTTTTTCATCTAAAATCGTGCCTGGCTGTCTTGCCCTATCTGTATCAGCAGAGGTTGCACAACAAGCACCTCATGACATCATAAACCTAACCCCCAAATGCATTTCCAGCTGCATAATAATGCTTGTAATTTAAATATGAATTCCCTCAAATTATTAAATTATTGGAGAAATTAAAATGTAGAAATAAAATCTACCTCCTTTTGCAAACTAAACCATAAATGCATTGGAGTTCCAAATTATTTCCTCCCCAATGTCTTCTCTACTGAGTCTCAGCCAGAGCGGTCCTACTGGAATGGAGAGTGTGTTTATCTGTTGCATCCTAGAAATCTTGTTTGTAATAGATGTTGCTCCTTCCATGTACAGGGGGAATGGCAAGTGCCAAAGTCCTGAGGCAGGTGTGTCCTTGGCATGTTTTAGGAATGTGAAGGAAGTCAGTGTGGCTGGAGCAGAGCGAGCTGGAGACAGTGGTGGGAGATGAGGTCTAAACTCTAGGTTGAGTATGAGGGAGGTGTCAAGTTCAGAAAGAAGTCTGTCATTACCTTCTCCTTCGCAATGTGGACCCTAAATTATTACTATTAAGTAAACCTAGCATGTCATAGTTCAGCCTCTATAGGTTACCAAACAGTCTGGCACCTACCACCTGTCAATTTAAATTTCGTTTGGGAACTCTCTTCTCATTAGGTTAGTTGGATTCATTCTGACATTATGCTTCCCATGTGTTTTTGCAATGGTGCCTCCAAGTCTTTCTTGATGCCTGTTTCAAGTATTTAGAACCGTTTCATTTTCGTTTCTCTCTTGAGCTCTATGTCTACCCGCCCTTTGCCATTGCTGAAGGTCTGTGTCTGCTTAGTGAAAGAACCTCTTTGTTTCTGGGCGGGGTACCCCACATTTATAGCAGGAAACTGTTCAAGTGAAATGCATCGTCTTACATGTCTCCTTCGCAATCTCAATTTCCTGCTCTTTTCTCTGAATTTCTCTATCCCTAGAAAGATCCAAGAATTGTTTTAGTTCTGAACTCCATAGGCTTCTATTATTGAACGTCTGCCTCTGAGCCCTGATTCGTGGTTAGTAGGTTTCACTTTTATCTCCCGTGGAGAATTACCTTCAGCTGGTCTTTGAGCTGCTGTTGGGTTACTGGAACCTATATGTCCACGGGTCTGAGGTCCACAGAATCCCCTGGGTTAGTGGCTTTTCACCCAAGCCCCACCTTTCCTTAGAATTGAATTTCTAAGACTTAAAGCATCTGCACTTCTTTGATGGGAACTGAAACATTCCTTCCTGCCAATGTTTCCCTTTCTGCATCAGAGATAAGTCCCCAATGTTTCCAGCTCCTTCTGAGTATTCCTACTGTTCCAGCAGGTCCAGCTGAGCTTTAAGTCTTTATAACCTTCCGTCTAAGTTGCTTCTGTTCCTTGTTTATCCCCAGCAAGAGCTTAATACCTTTTGCTAGGTGTTAGTACTTTCTTTCCCTATATTTGCTTTTTGTTTTCAGAATTAGAATTTTGTTCTCCTAACATATTACTTTAGAATTTGCCTGTGAGTTGGCCATAGAGAGAGAATGATGCCAGAGAATTCTGGATCTGCCACAAACATCCGGTATTCAAATAAATTCTGCCCGCAGCTACTTGAAAGGCTGAGGCAGAAGATTGAGCCCAGGCGCTTGAGGTGGCTCGCTGAGTCGGGTCGGTATGCCGGCACTCTAGCCCGGGCATATAGAGATGAGATTCTGTCTCAAAAAAAAAAAAAAAAAAAAAAATACAATACTGAAGAGGCGAATAATGAGTTAGCAAGAAGAAAATTTAAAAACCCCAAGAGCTTCGATTCTTCTTGGGAAAAGGAAAACCGTAATCCACAGACAAGCCTAATCCAACTTTAAAAGAGAGAGGACAGAAACCAAACAGTTCCCTCGAACTAAAGCTGTAACACGTACATAAGCGCTAATACAGCCCCCAGAGCGAACTTGTAAGCAAATATACCATGTCACACCTTCTGCCGATGTATTTAACAAATGTCAACATTGGACACTTTTGATAACCCAATCGTCTTATCAAAACAATTGACTCCAAGTAAAATGTAAGAAACTTAAAACACGCAACCTCTCAAGGAAGAACTTGCCACAGCTCCTTTAAAACAGAAGCCATCTCTACACGAAGTGGGTGGGAAGACTTAAATGATCCTTACATGAGCGAAACTTTAAAAGGAAGGAATAATTTCAAAGGGTATTATAAACTGTTCCGGAGCCAAAAAAAGGTATAAAAACTTCTCCAAGATCATTTTAAGGGAAACTAGCATAACCCTGATAATG